TCAAGGACTACTTAGACTCAGTATATGCCGAGGCAGCTCAGTATGATCACCCTGCTTCCTATCCAGTAAAGGCAATCTGTGGAGCCATTGATGCGGCAGCTAAGAAAAACAATAATATTCTTGATCAAATATTTGAAGGTGTTGTCGCCTATATGAAAAATAAATCATGCTATGACATGAATATATTCAATTGTCCTAGTCAAACTAATATGGGATGGAGATGGCAGGTGCGTGAATTACATATGGCTGGTCTGAAACTAACCACGTTCTATCCATCAAATATCAATCTTAATCTCATCCTACTTAGAATCTTTTGTCAAGAGTTGATAATGAATTGACTTTTTATAAACAGACTTGTAGCGAAATGGTTATGCCAATCGGACACGATAAGAGTGATTCAATGTTCCCACCAGCATCTTTCAATATGAAAACCTTTGTCAAAGAGTGTAGGAGGTTGTATGGCGTCCTTCCACAGCCTCACTGGGTGACTACTTATTATGGGGGTCCTGTATGTATATCATTTATTCAACTTCATGAAACATAGTTTCCAAAATATTTATCACAAAGATTCCTTCTTGCCATAAATCGATCCAAAAGAAATTTCTTTCTGATTTATATGATACTGCAGGATTTGAAACTGAAACTCCGTAGGTTTGCAAGCAACATCATCTTCTCCAATGGTCTTAGAGATCCCTATAGTTCTGGCGGGTAAAACAAGTTATATTGAAGTGCGTACAACTTCATTTTTATGTATTAATTTATTACCATAATCACTTTGTTTGCTTTTGTTTATCCTAAAACGGATCTCAGGGTGTTGGAGAGTATATCAGATAGTGTCGTTGCTGTATCAACAGTCAACGGTACGTCATCTTTATTATCGTTATATGCATTTCTTTATTATTATTAGTTGAGTATCCTGAGTTATATGATGCGTAAATTGTTGACGCCTTTTAACATGATTGTTTTTGAATAATTGCAGGATCTCATTGCCTGGACATTCTTGAAGCAACGCCAAATGATCCTCAGTGGTTAGTGATGCAGAGAAAATCTGAGGTAAAGATAATCAAAGGCTGGATTGCTAAGTACCGAGCTGACCTACGAGCATTAAATAACCAAAATATTTCATATAACTACAAAGCTGGTCCACAATGGTGAAGAAAGACTATGATCTCCACAATAATGTATTCACCAGTGTTCAGTGAGATCATTAAGATTGTGCTGAAACTAAAGCTGGCGGGAAAATTATAATCTATAATTCGCAGGCGCTCTTATAAGTGCTGAATAATGGGTATTGATGATATATATACTGATAATATAAAAAATTAAAACTAGCGAAATAATAGTACTGTTAATTATAATCATTTTGACATTGTGTTTCTGTCTTACGCGGAATCCACCAATGGTTAATGAACGGATTCTGTAAATGCATCATCATGTATCCACGTTGCTGGTGTTTGTGAGAGAAACAGTGAGCAGTTGTGCTCCCCATAAGCAAACACACAATGCCATGGTGCCGCCTCTTGTCAAGACAACAGATATTTGTCCTTTTATTTTATGTGTGGCATTGTGAGGTACATCCAAGAATTTTTTTATCATCCAAAGGAAGTGGGATTACTGAAACGTTCCGTTATACAGGTCAACTACGTTAGTGGGAAATAGTTTTAATTAAATGGGACACCCACGACAGTTCAATATTATTAATTAATTAATTGGTGCTGCTATTTCAAGGTCGAAGGATTGGGGGGCATGTCAATGACGAACGAATGATAAGATTATTGTCTGGAAGGAATTAAAGAGGTAAGAAGGGGAAAAAATATAAATGACACAGGTGCAAGGGTGAGACCTGAGATCTTCTTTATATATTATTGGCACCGAAAGAAAAAAGAAAATACTACCTCCAGTCCTTAATATAAGATCTTGTACGTTTGACTTTTTATTTTAGTCCTAAATATAAGATTCCAATCCACTTTGTCTCTCATATTTATGTATTACCTCCGGTCCTAATTATAAGACCCAGTTGACTAATTTGAGGAGATTAAGGAAGTAAGTTAAGTTAGTTATTTGTAATAAATAAGTGTTGTCATTCCTAAAATATCCTTGCTAATTAAGTGTATTGGCTAAAACTATCATGATTAGAAGGATTATTTTGGAAAAAAATACATAAATATGAGAGACAAAATGGATTGGGGTCTTATAATTAGGACCAAACAAAAAGTCAAACGGGATCTTATATTAAGGACCGGAGGTAGTATTTTTTTTCTAATTAAGATAGTCCTTTTAACAATGATAATTCTAACCAATACACTTGTTTAGTAAAGATATTTTAGGAAAGGGAACACCTATTTATTACAAATAACTAACTTAATTTCTTTCTTTAATTTTTTCAAATTAATCAACTACCTCTTATAATTAAGACCGGAGGTAGTAATTGAGAAGGATAAGAACATATATGGAGGAGTTGTCTTCTAGCAACCTCTTTATTATTAGATAAATTTAAGGAAAGAAAATGCAGAATGCTCATGCTCCTTTTCTGCTGTGCTAGCAATATTTGATATTAATAACTAAAGTTGATGAGAGTATTAGTGACTGTTGAGACTTCAAATTCCAACCTTCATACACATGTTAATAACCTAAATACGAGAGATCGACTCCTTTACCCTCCGTAGTTTGAGAGAGACATATATTTCTCATATCTTTTACAGATGCATACATAATATTTGCATATGTATTACTTTCCGTCTTTAATATAAGACCCAATTAATAAATTTAAAAAATCAAAATAACTATTAAATTATTTAATTATAGTATATATTACATGATTTTTTTAAAATACTTATTCATATCATTGAATTATATATTAATAATTTAACTAATCTAAATTAGTTTGAAAAAACGATATATATAAATATTTTAAGGTAATTTAATATCTTTCTTAATTTTTTTAAATTAATCAATTGGGCAGGAGGCACTATGTGTGTGTATTTTTTTATCTTTTTTTCCCCGTTGCTCGGTGCGTCTCTCCTACGTACGTATCTAATCATGGAGCTCCTTGCGCCACAACTTCCCGTCTACGGACAGGAGAGGACTGCATGATTTGGCGACGTTCGAGGATTTGATTATCGGGAGCCATGGATCTAGTGCATGGCCCAGAGAAACAAATCTGGATCAATCTCTTTGCATGGCAGGTCGACATTTGATTTCCAGACAAGTTAAGTTCGCAGGTTGAACCTCATCACTAATTTTATGGTTGCTGGCTTTGAAACTTCACTTACTGATTAGCTTTTAAAACTCCGAAGTTATTTAACTCGTGACTGCGTGAGTTAAAAATTATGGTGAGTTGAGCAGGCCATGTTTAATTAATCCAACATAATTTTTTTTTAAAAAAAACCTCATTTTTTTAAATTTCTCAAATGAATTATTTGAAGGTTGGCAGAAAAAAATGAATTATTTGAAGAAAGGTTTAGAAAACACTACCTGTCCTTAATATAAAAATAGTTAAAAATTTAATTTAATTCTAAATATAAAGTCTCAATTCACTTTGTTTTTAATATTTATATATTTTGCTACCAAATAAACCTATGGTGATTACATATGTTAAGAAATGATATTTCAATACACATAATTGATGAGAATATTTTAGAAAAAAATAATATCTATTTATTATAAATAATTAGATTGACAAATTTTTTTAAATATTTATAAATTAGTTATCTAACTTATAAATCGGAAGTAATATTATAGTACCCATATTATATTTCTTGAAATTGACACGTCCTCCTATTTTGTATCAATACATCCTCCTATTTTATTATTAGCTAATCCTCTCAAAATATAAATTAAATTAATTCATGTAGTGTGGGTCTATATCTACGCAACATATGCTAAAAAACAATAAGATGCAGATTAACGATAGGAAGAAAGCTAAGGTCCCTGCCTCACGGGGCGAGCCCCTTGACGCGTCCCCCCTTGACCCTGGTGCTCTGTTTAATTTTCCTGATACGTTGAAAGGCCTCGAACCTGAAATCAATCAATCAAATTAAATTGCATGAGAGATATATGTTATCATTAAATTTAACCACAAATATAAATTTTATTATCTAGATTTCTATTATATTTGACTTTCTTTTAGTCTACAACACAAAAGCCTTGACTTCTTCATTATATATATATGTGCATTAATTAATAAAAATTTAGAGAAAACTCACAGTCATAGTCAGCCCATCCAATACGTTGACCAGCCAGATCATAAACAATTATTCTATCTTTTAATACTATATCTGCCAGGAAAAACAACCCAAAAAAAAAAATTGCTACACGAGTACATATATATATCCTAAAAGATAATTAATTTCATGTACCATCTGGCGAAAAGAAAAAAAATAATAATTCCATGAAGTATTGCTATACATAATTAAATAAACTAATTAAAAACAGTACTTGCAATCAGAGTTGGAATTAAAATTTGCAAATTAAATATACCTCCTAAAATAGTGAACGCTTGAGAACCTTCCATTTTCTGAATGCCAATACACCACCCCTTTTCGCCGTCATTCTATATATAACACGTATTTCACCCATCTCAGTAGGAGACCAATACATAAAGGATCACCTTTATACGCTTAACTTTTCGAAAAATGATATGTACATATAATAAAAATAATGAAGCTTGAATTTAATATATACTTACTAAAGTTATGTGAAGTACAAGGTAGTCCTTGGGTTTAAGAACCATAGATGCGCCGCCCGCAAAGTTCAAACTTACGTTAGGGAAAACTTCAGAGATGCTGAACAACACCAAATCATCAAACATACAAAAAGAGACAAATCGAGAGAGAGTCAAGCTCAATTCATCTGTAATACTATCTAAGGTATTTAATATAAGCTCTAGTTTATAGTCCAATCCTAATATATATAAGATCTTAGTTTCTAGTTTAAATTGATCTACAAACTAGAACTTATATTCATGATCGAAAATAGTATATATTAATTTCAGAAAGCAATCAATTGAAAACATGGATGCATAGCCCAGAAAACCTCTTCTTAGCCCAGAAACATTGGGAATATCCATCTGCAACGTAAGTGCCTGTAAGCGATTCTACTGGAGTAGCAGCCGAAATCTGCACATCAAAAGAACATATCAACTTCTTTTTTTTCAAATCAATGAAGAGTTACGTTAAAAAGAGCCTTCAAAATGTGTGTATGAATTTGATACGCATCGATCATTCAGTTCCAGTAAAAACGATATGAAATACGCACCGCGTTGAGGAAGGAGTCGTAAACCACATCAGGAAGGTACGCCATAGTTGTTCCAGAATCAACAACGGTGCCTTGGTTCTCTAATGCTTGTAAAACCGATGAATCAATCTCTAAGTTTTGGCCTTTCACCTCGATGCCCTTGAGGTCTAAATTGTAATGCGTCCTGAAATATATGGGTGTATACACCCACACCGACACACCCAGATCTTTAAAACAACAATAATAATACTGGGTCGTGTATATAACAAGTTGTTGATGAAGATCAAAGTATTATACCTGGAAGGAACGAGAGGAGTAAAAACAATATGGGGGTCCACAATCTCACCAAGAACCAAGGTGCCTCCGCCCTGATCATCTCCTCGGAGGCAGTGAGAGAATACTTTTGGCACCAACCTTTTTGACGAGAGCTGTGATATAACTGAAGTGTCCCCTCGCCCAAATCCTATTATCCCATCCACTCCTCTACTGTTATTCGTCGCCAAGTTTCCCGTCAACTCCGTGCTACATCTGCTCTACATACATAACACAGACAAGGTAACAGTACAGTATATTAATAATTAATGTATGTTTGAAAGAGTAAAAATTACAATGGAGGGTTATTAATTATTATTATGATCATATATACCCGAAGATGACAGGTGAAGATCCGTTGGAAACTGGGGTGGCAAAATGAATGAGATCAGTAACATAGTAACCAGCAGAGGCACTATCATCGGCGTACTGGAATGTGTAAGTGCAGCGATTATTTTTGGAACACATGGCTTCTGGGGACTGATATTCGCTGTTACATATGGAGTCTGTACAAGTTACTGGTGTGTGTGTGGATGATTTCCCAGGATCGAAAGAACTGAGCTCGATCTGTACGCACGTATAACAATTAATGATCTTGATCATGAACATAGAACTATATATTAGTCTACAGCCATCAGAAAACAAAGAAAGAGGAATTCAATTACTTACTTGAAGTTCGGTTTTGTTGGGGCAGCCAGAACAGGAGCTGCAGGTGACCCAGAGAGGGTCGCTGCCTGTGTCTACTTGCAAATGAAAATCTCTTGGGGGAGAACCCAATTGCACCTTTGTATAATAAATCCTGCCGATAAAACATATAATTTATTATGATCGAATTTGGTCCTTTATGTTCTTCGCAAATGAAGTCAATCAATGCATGAAACGTTAAAGGATGAGATAAATACGAACAAACCTCAGATCCCGGGTCAGAAAAGAAAATTTAAGAAAAAAAATTTACCCGGCTCCGTAAGGATCATATGTGCCCTCAAGAGTGAAACCAGTATCATTGGAAGATTGAATCAACCTGCGATGTCTAGCACTGTCCATAGCTTTGAGTTCACTCAATTTCATTTTATTATTCAGCGGAATTGCCCTTTCAAGAGATAGGGTCATCGGAAATAATTCACATGTCACCGTCCTCGTCGTCCGACATAAAAATAATGCAATAATGGCCGCCGTGAGAATCCCTCCCGGAAGAGTCGCCGCCATTTCTAATGGAGGAGTTATATAGATAATCCTCCTTGCTAATTAGCTATTCATATAAAAAATCAGATCTGGAATGATATATATATATATATATATATATATAAATATATATGAGAATGTGAAGCAGAACTTACTCATCATGGCAAAGACTGAGCTTTTGTCTCGCCTTTTTCGTTCTAGTTCCAGATGTCAGATACAGGAGATGCCACATGCATCCTTGGTCTACGTAGAATTTCTATTTTTATGGTAGCATATCCTTTTTTTTTTTTTTTCATTCTTCTCGTTTTCAAAATACAATACAGATTCAAAAATAGTTTTTTGGCTAAAAAAACAGTTTTTTGAATTTTGTCAAATGTAAATAACTTCTTTTTACGAATAAATTCTAAAAGTAAAAAAATTTCATATCTACTAAGTTAAAACTTAAAAAGCTTAATAATTAAATTTATTTTTTTATGCAAATATAACTTAAAAAGCTTAATAATTAAATTTATTTTTTATGCAAATATAATTAAATTTATTTATTGAGCAAGGTGAGCATTTGCAGCTGGTTTTCCGTTTTTGACACATTATGAAGCTTTCTTTCTTTTCTTTTAACTTGACAAACATATTTTCCATGAACTTCGGTTTGTACTTTGTACATTCATATTCAGGGCCTGTTTTATATTTTTTTTATTCATATTAATATTCTGGAAAAATATTTCTTAAAATAAACTTATGTTTGGTATCATATGATGAAGAGGAAAAAAAAAAAGAAGAACATTTCTTTTTTGGTCAAACCTTGTGGCTCTGTTGAACCAAAAAAAATGTGTTGAAGTATGATTAGCTTATTTGTTACTATATCTGGTCCTAATTATAAGAGCTAATTGATTAATTTGAGAAAATTAAGAAGATAAGTTAAATTAATTATATATAATAAATAAATATTTTTTTCTTAAAATATATTTACTAATCAAATGTGTTGGCTAAAACTATTATTATTAGAAATATTACTTAAAAAAATACATAAATATTAGAGACAAAGTCAAATGAGGTCTTATATATATTTAGGACGGGAGGCAGTATTATTTTTTTTTAATTATGTTGCTGTGAGAATTTCAATCCTTTACTTCTATTCATATTTATTCTAATTTTATCATAAATAGTCATCTATTTATTAATACAGAGAAGAAGTTTTTTTTTTTTGGGCGAAAGAAGATTTTTTCCATATTTTCTTGAAAATAAATTTAACACAGGCAAACGCAAGTACATGTTTAGACCTGCTCATCATGAGGGGGAAGGTTTTTGTGCCCCAGAACAAGGGAATTTAAAAGGAGGGGCTTCTTGCATAGCTTCACTTCTTGTCACTGTATCTCACATTCTTTTCTTTTTTTGTTTGTGGGGGAACAACTCACACATTCTTTATTTTCCCGGCAAGAATCGCTCAAGAACCCTAATCTCACCAACGGTTATAGTTCCCGCTAGCGCCAATATTGACTTGTCATCGAAACCCTCCTGTTTAGATAGCTGCTACAGTGCATAGTGGCTTTTGCGTTCTTTGATGGCGGAGGATCGGAACGGTGATGGCAATGAGGTAAGTGATTATACTTCGGAGGACGAAGGCACCGAGGACTACAGACGAGGAGGTTATCACGCCGTTCGAATTGGTGACACTTTCAAAAATGGGTGCTACGTGGCGCAAAGCAAACTCGGCTGGGGTCATTTTTCTACTGTCTGGCTCGCTTGGGATACCCAGAGATCGGTACGTGGACCTCATCAACTTTCTGAAAAAAGTTATTGGAAAAATAAATGATATTGAGCCTAAGCCGATTCTTGCTTTTTAGGCCTGTGCGAAATGTGGCCATCTGGGTGGTAAAGTTTAATGTTTGGGGCAAAATATTTTTCCAAGTTTAATGTGCTTTTTAGTCCATTCTCCCTTTTCCATGGATAGAACCTGTCTTGGTTGAACCTCTTGGCGTCGTTGTTTATATAAGATTTAGAATGGAATTTATGTTGTTTTCTTATATAGGACATCATTTGGTTTCCCGATCTCATGTTAGGAGATAGGCCCTATGTACTTGTGATGATATTGTTTTCAGAACCTAAATAACGCAAGTTCACGATGTAAATTTATTTTGTAGTCCTCTAAACTTTGGAAAATTTCTTTTGTAGCGTTATGTAGCCTTAAAAATTCAAAAGAGTGCCCAGCACTACACCGAAGCTGCAATGGATGAAATAAAGATTCTCAAACAGATTGCTGAAGGGGATTTGGATGACAAGAAAAGTGTCGTTAAGCTTTTGGATCACTTCAAGCATTCAGGACCTAATGGCCAGCATGTGTGTATGGTTTTTGAATTCTTGGGCGATAATCTGCTGACCCTTATAAAGTATAGTGATTACCGGGGGATTCCTATCTCATTGGTTAAAGAAATTTGTTTCCATATTCTGGTGGGATTGGATTACTTGCATCGTGAGCTATCTGTAATACACACAGATTTGAAGCCAGAGAATGTCTTGCTTCTGTCAATGATAGATCCATCCAAAGATCCTAGAAAATCAGGTGTTCCGCTTATCCTTCCAAATACCAAGGATAAGGCCATTTCCAAACATGGGGCCGCAAAAGACAGTAATAGTTCAAAAGGGGATTTGACCAGGAACCAGAAAAAGAAATTGCGGAAAAAGGCTAAAAAGGCTGCTCAAAGTTGTGTTGAGAAGGAGAGTCCCAAGGAAGGTGAAGAGGATTCTAAACCACCTGAAGTAAAAGATTGTGGTGATGATGGGGAACTGATTGTGGAATCTTTTGAAGATAAATCTAGTAGTCTTGTAACCAAAGATGAATCAATTGAACTTGTTGAAACCAAGGACATCCCAAAAGGTATTCATGGTCAACTGAGAGTTAGTCGTTCCATGAAAAAAAAGTTGCTTGCTGCTGTTGATCTTAAATGCAAGCTGGTTGATTTTGGAAATGCCTGTTGGACTTATAAGCAATTCACGAATGATATTCAGACAAGGCAGTATAGGTGTCCTGAGGTTATTCTTGGGTGCAAATATTCAACTCCGGCTGATTTATGGTCTTTTGCTTGCATTTGCTTTGAGCTTTCCACAGGTGATGTTCTTTTTGATCCCCACAGTGGTGACAACTATTCAAGGGATGAGGTAATTCTTCCATTCAAATTGCATTTTTCCTTTTCCTTTTTTCTTTTTCCCAGAACTGGTTTCCTATTGAGCTTTTCTGTTTAAGTATAGAATGCATGTTCCTCTGTTCCGTTCACTTTGTGTTTGCTTGGCTGCCAATTTGCTGTATGCTTCTGTTTCTTGTCATGCTCTTATGGTTGCATAATGACAGTTCCAGGGAAGTTTGCTTCTGTTGCTTTCTTGCTTGCATCATTTTTCTCAACTATGAGCATAGTTGGTAGACTAATTCTTAACTGCGTTTTTTAGTATTTAAGAAAAGAAGCAAAAACCCATCTTTTGATAACATCTTTCTTTCTTGGGACATAGGAAGATTGTTTGAAATATAGATTCATTGATTCAAACAGAGATTTGAAAATTGTCTCGCTTAGTACTGTAGAATTGTTGATTGGATGATGAAAATGTATTTTGGACAGGGCCAATGGTAGACATAGAAGATATGCCCAGTAATTGGTAGAAAATAGAAAATCCCTTACTTAGTCTTTGTAGTATTACTTGTATGTGAAAAATAAAATTGAGTAGGTCTTCCTCTTAAAATGCCTCATACTGTTGAACTTTTAATGTAGGTCTTTTTATTTGATATCTGTGGTGTATGGAGACTAGTTGAGTAAAGAGTGGTTTCTATTCTGACTACAGATTTAAATACTCTGTACTCAACATTCTCTTATGAAAGTTGAAATAAAGCCTTTTCCTCGGAGTCAATACCCATATGCTAACAGATTGCCAGAACACAACTTAAACGTCCCTTCAAAGAAATTTGCTTGTTTCAATGACATTTTGAAATTATAAATCAGCTATACAAAGAACCAAGAGTGGTATTTCTCTGTCTAAAGTTTCCCCACTTTTCATTCATGGGTGAAAGCTTATAGAGTGGTAGGTGAAATGATCACTTGAACTATAATGCTCAGACACCACCTTTCATAAATAACTTCATATATTCTTAAACTTGTTGTCCTTGCTTCATACCTGCTAAAAACGCACAAATCTATACCAGTGGTAAACCTGAACTTTTTACTACGGTTTGATAACAATTTCTTCTGTTTGGATCAATAATTTAAAATGTCGTCGGTGATTGAAATTCAACCTCAGTGAATGGTCTTTTGATGATACTGTACTTCTTACTTTTCAGGATCATTTGGCATTGATGATGGAACTTCTTGGAATGATGCCTCGCAAGGTAGGAATGCTTTTTCTTGCTGAAAAATATCAAAGTTATTTTATTAGTTTGTGTGACCATCATGTGTTCAAGAAACAACGTGGTAGTTTACAGCATTCTTCATTATTGTCAACACTTTAGTTATTCTAATTTGCAAAACTGAAGTAATATTTCCTTTAGATTGCTCTAGGCGGTCGCTATTCTCAAGAGTTTTTTAATAGACATGGTGATTTAAGGCACATCCGCCGGTTGCGTTTCTGGCCTCTTAGTAAGGTGCTGATGGAGAAGTATGATTTTGGTGAGCAAGATGCAAATGACATGGCTGACTTCCTTGTTCCGATGCTTGATTTTACCCCCGAAAAGAGGCCAACAGCTGCTCAGTGCCTTAATCATCCATGGATCTCTGCAGGTCCTCGGACTCTTGAACCCTCAGTGACTACTGTCCAGTCTGATGCCACAGACAAGGTAGTGCCTGAAAAGATGAAGGAAAAGGCTGAGTTGGGGGCAGTTGAAGCTGGTGTGCGGAATATAACTATTGATGGATCTCCAAAGGCACTCAAAGATTTATAGGCTACATGGTTAGCAGAATAGATGCGAAGTAGCGCATGTCATAACAACTCCTGTGGCGCACTATGTTATGGGATTGAGATTCTCTAAATTTCCGAAAGAAGTTTACTGTTTGGAGTCAAAATATAATGGGCTTAATTCCCGCTTATTTCTAACGCGAGTCATATCAATGATCTTTTTCAGAGGAACTTGGATGATCTCAATCCTCGAATGTGGGAGTTATATTTGACTTCACATTTACATAGAATGGACCACGTGAAGAAGGTTTTGATTTTGGTAGCCCGTCATAGGGTGAGGACAACACGACCGCTGCTACGGACTTGTTAGGGGATTGCAGGTTGTCTAGGCCATCACCACATTGAATAGATCTGGCACAGTACGTTTTACAATTTGTTTCTGGAGGTTGAGATGGGAATGCCTCTCCAGATTATTGAGATTTTTTTTTCTTTTACGAATGCTGTGTTTTAAGGCTCTGAGTTGTACTTGAATGCATTTTTCAAAAGTGAAAACCCTGTGAATTTTTGGTATTCTTCTATCCTTAATATAAGATCTATTTAACTAATTTGATTAGATTAAAGAAGTTAGGTAAATTAGTTAATTATAAGAAATATAACGTTTTTTCTAAAATACCATAATCATCTTCCTTAATATTTTTTTTTTCTTCTATTTGATTATGATTGATAGAGTATTTATAGGGATAATTTAAAAAAAATTAATAAATATGAGAAATAAATTCTATATTTAAAGTCAAAATCAACTCAATAATTAAGTCTTATATTAAGAACCAGAAGAGTATGTTGAAAGGTGGCAACCTATTATCCAACTCAAAGCTAATCAGTCATACCACTTTCATTGAGCAGAAATTACACTAAAAGTATGAGGCTGATACTGATAAAAGTTAGTAAATAAACTGTGTTCACACACACACACACAGGCCGTTTAATCCAAATAAACTGTGTTCACACACACATAGAGGCCGTTTAATTCCATAAAAATTAAAAAGAAAGTACTTCCTCCAAATAGCTAAACTGTTCGGTTTAAGAAAAGTATCAAAATTAATTAAAAGCAATAAATAAGTAGAAAATAAATTTTTTATTTTAGATATGTCCTTGTATATAAGTGGGTAGATAAGGTTGAAGAATGGGAAAAATATAACAAGAGAGTATATTAATTAAAATAAAATAGGTAAAATTTTATTTAATGTTTAGACAAATTTATTGTGAATCTTATAAATAGAAACGAATTAATTTGAAAATTTAGATATCATAAATTACGGAGGAAACATGAGAACGTAAAGTATCATTAAGGACAGGGACTCCATGGACTCTGAGATGGTGCTCCATTTCAGAACGCAGTACACTGTTTTTAGGGCAAAGGCATATGATGCATAATCTTCACAATAATTTTCTTCTTTATGACTGATTTTATTCAATTCATTCATTGATCACGAATGTTACAGCCATAGTCAGCTCCACGAATAAATAAGCATTGGCTAATACAGACGCTAAAAAATACAACCCAGGGATACGAGTCACGTGAATCCTGTCACGTGATCTCATGACCATTTTGAATAACCCTTGTGTACAATGACCGCATATGTCGAGCGCTGAATTATTCTGTTTTTTGGATGATGCCTGCCAAATGAATTGGATTCCCTTCAGATATCGAAGAGTTAATACTGTCTGGAACTACGTGCAATGCAGGGAGCCCATAGTTTAGTTGCTTAGATATCTTGGAACTTGGGTCAAGACAATACTTGGATAATATATCATTAGAGAATTTCCACAGCTCTCCATCAAATACTAAATAAATAATATGAGAAAGAAAATAATTTCTTTTTTTAGAAGTATTGCAAGGAAATAAGATAAAAACAAATAGACATTGGTACCCGAGTTTGAAGTTTCTTCCGGTCAAAGTATTTTCCTTGCCTTGAGATAGTAATACACAAGGAAAAAACCAATAACCGCGCCAACTATAATCCCACCTGTTGTCAGCCAAAAGGCAAACTGCAACAAACCCAAAAATGTGGTAATTTAACGAAGTTTTATATTGAACAATGTCCAAGAAGAACGAAAACAAGACATGCAGGTAATAAGACAGCAAACCATATCTCACCACATGTTCTTCAAGATATGACTTAAGGTTCATGCCAAATATACCTGAAATCAAGAAAGTTTATCATAGTATCAGGCAAGGTGCATAATACCTTCCCAGCTATAAACCAGTTCTATGCACTTGACTTTTATATTCATATCTTATTGACAGATATGAAATTTGCATGACATTGAAGGGAAAGCTCGAGTAATCGAGATGGCTCCAAGCTTTTCCTTAGTAACAAATTCCGTTCAAAACCGTATTGAGTAATGAGTAGCTTCCATGCTCACAAGACATTAAATGTAAGGCATAATTCACATGATTTGAAGGTTGAATCAGAAATTAGTAACATGAGAAGTCCCCTTCCTCACTCGTTGTCAGAAGTTTTATGATTACTACAAACAAGATTTGCATATAATGCTTGGCAGGCTTGGCTTCTTTCAGCAAAAAGGAGCCTCTTGAAAACGAAAACAAAGAGATGCAAAAAATAACATTTAGAAAAGTCCGAAAATTGGATGTGACACTTCAACGAATCTCTACTTTTCTACATCTTAGCAGTCGCAGAGAACAACTTAAGTTTCACCAGTAACTCTCGCGCTCTGTTAAAGCTAAGCTTGCCTTAGCTTCAGCTTCTGACATCTAGAAGTCCTTTACAGTTCACCACATCAAAATAACTACGTTGCATTAAGATTATGACAGTAGCAACTTATTATTGCATGTAACTTGGTTGTCAAACAAGGCACTAAGTTCATATATTTCAGACATAGCTGCTGATAAAAGAAATGATAAAATAACTATACCGGCAACTAGGGCACCGACTGCCACACAGAATGTCCCAACCTGAAGAAGCAGCTCTACTCTGCTAACCTCAAGCCTCCGTGAGCTGATAAAAGAAGATAATTTATTAAAAATAACCGGATTATAAACAAAGTCTCTTGATATTTTTTCAAGCAGCTAAACTAAACTATGGCATCTCCTGTATGCATGAGCTCTTAGGAGAACTTGTGTTCCATCATTTTACGAAGTTGGCAGACAAGATTTTGTGCATTCTTTCTTGGATTACTTCTAAATAATGAATTTTAAAATCTATATTGATGTCCGGGCTAGTTTGCAACCCTTGTATATGAATATATCATATCATGTTTTGATTTAAATAATAACGCTAATTTTTAAGCTTACTCCAGATGTACAGGGTTAACTTTAGAGCCCATTCTATTGCATCCAAAGTTAGTCAACCATATCAAAAACTGAGGAATACAAGCACAGTCGCTAGCATAAGTTCACCTTCAGAAGAACAATAAAGTATCAGTTTATTTTGTGAAATCATATTGTTGCTATTTCAGATATGAAGCACTTCTCTTTCTGGCGTAAATAATTAAACATCGAATGAACAACTAAGCAATCCTCCAGATGAGGGAAGATGGTTCTGGCAGGTTGACTTTGTTCGCTTTTAGCTATTAAGATCAATTTTCAAAATTGTCTCTCAATAACCCGATGATACAGCAAGCGTATCTCACAGGAACAATCCCCCGGGGAGGGGGGGGTGGCGCTCTGCTACCACAGCCCCCCCAACCAAAAAAAAAAAAAAAAAACACACATGCGCGCACACTCAAAGATTCAAACCTCAAATTGACAGCTATAGAATCTTCCATTTCCCTCGCAGAATCAAGAAGCCTTTCAGCTTGACCATGACAAGATTCACATCTGCAATGTAACAAGGTAAATAAGTCAACTTTGAGATAAAAATCGTTGTTTAATATATGAATCTCCTGTAATTACTGGTAGTACATAGAATATTAAAATTAAAATATCAACAAAAACAAATGATTTTTTGTTTTAATATGTTTTCCGGCATGAAATAATGGACCAATATCAGTATTAATCCTCAGAATTGGACCAAAAATAAGGGGAAAAAACTCAAGTCCACACAATCAAAATAAGTAGTTCTCTCTAAGAATAACCTCTGAAGATAATTTTCCAGAAGCATCTCAATTTCTTCCTCTTCTTCTGCAGATAATGAGGAAAAAGAAGCAAATGAGACTATGTGACAGGTCATTTGAGAGTCAGGATCTGTATTGGAAGACTTCAAATAGCTTACCCTCAGCAATCTGCTTTTCTAAGGGCACTGAGCACTCCACAACATCACTTCCTCTCTTAAGAATGCAATTTCTTCCCATAATACATATACGGCGTATTTCATGAGGGTCTTCCAGAAGATCAAGCAGCATTTGTCTGAGAGCTCCTGCTCTGGAACCTAACTCAACCTACCAATTTGACAGAGAAGCAAATATATAACTATATGGCATTTCCAGTACCACCAAATATTGTAAATTTATTGGAAGAGAACTTCCAACATACCAAAGTTTGTTTACTAATACGTAGTTGCTCCAATATGTCACCGGTTAATCGATTAGGCAAGACCTCAAGAAGAGCTTGAACCTGGAGCGAAAAGGAAGTAGGATTGGGGGGGGGGGGGAGAGGCGCACAGAGATAGAAAGAGTTGAAGAAACTTGTGAGTCAAATCAGGATATTAAATTAGAGACAGAAAAAAAATCTTCGCCCAGAATTAAAATGAAAAAGATAAATCAAATAAGTAAATATCTTGATGAGAAAGAGTTCCCCATTCACGCATAGACTATACTTATAGAATCTTATTAAATGACTGGAGATCAACAGAAGATGATGCTTTGAAGACCTAATGAAATGCGAGGACAAAGATAGTCAGAGGAAGATATCGCACTAAAAGTAGTAAAGCTGAGGAATTCCCATGACATTTGGTTCATAGGTAGGTTTACAAACAACTATTTGTCAAAGTCAAGGTAAATCTATTAAGTTAAAAAAGTAACATGCTTGGGACCAGCGCGGGCATACAATGGACCAGCATAAATATATTCAGTCACTCACTATGTTTACATACTCACACGGGGTTCTAAATCCATTAATCTCTGCTCTAACCGCTGTATTCTTGATAGCAACGCTGCTTCAACAACCTGAAAGTTTGACCAAATGACGAAGGGAAAAACAGTTCACAACCATATTTCTACGATGAGAAGTCTAATCGGATGTGTCAACAGATTTGGAAAATGAAAATAAAGCCAAAGGTCTCGCACCAATGTGGCAGGTATAGGCATGCCCATTTAACAATTGACGTTCAAATTGATGAGAGCACCTTCTTTAAGGAATCTTATTTTTCCCCTTAACTAGAGAAGGCATATAACATGACATAAATAGTATGCCTTAAGCTTAAAGACTTGGAGTAACCATCTGAAAATCTAAATTATTAAAGGACCTCTGTGGTTTTTCCTTTCGCCACCCAATCTTATCAAAGGCATGCCTATTGTTTTCATTACTTCCATCAATGTCCTCCTCAGCTATTCTTTCTTCTTATTGGATCGAGTTCATTTTGGCCTTGAGTATTGGCTTTGTCACCATTTAATGTCATTATGCCCAATCCTTTTTTCTTGAAGTTACCATTTTCTTTCGCATAATTTCTTGTTCAGTAACATTTCAATCCAAAGGTTTCAGTCACTAGTAAAAAGCATATTAGTAGTTTTACTGATGACTCTGATGTCATGTCAAAAACTATTTGAACATAAACCAATTTAGCAAAGACCCATGAACAGCTTTAGTAATATCTCTGTTCTTTAACAATCTTTAGTTCGCCACCACTTATTCCATCCTTCGTTGTATTCCTTAACATCTTCAATTATTGCTACCTCTACCAGGGCTTGGGCCACAATTATGAACCCAAAAACAATGTTTATACTTTTTTTATCATTATGAAATCAACCAAAAAAGGGCCAGCAGTAGATTTCAAGTAATTTCAGCTATCAATTCCGAGGATTCTCCAGTAAAATAAAATCAGTAGTATGTATATCAGTGTTTCTATACAACCGCCTTCAAATGCCCAACTACAGGGAAGCTTGAACATATGTTGGACAGCCACGGGAATGTAAAATGCCATGCTCTTCAGGTTTGTTTCACCCAATTGCTTTCTCAGAAGGACCAAATAAACAAACTACGCTTTATTCCATGGGACTAGGATTGAGATATTTCCCATCCTTCCCAAGTACTTGTCATCTGATATTACTTCTGCTCCCTCTCAACCTCTTCCTCTCCTGCCGCTAAAAGTAAAGCTCTTTCACTTTCACATGCAAGCATAAAACCGCAAATCCAAATAAGATAAAGAAAAGACTACTTGCCAGGTATACCACGCCTCTTCTAACATATTTGACAATGACGGTTGTGCTAACTTGCAAAACTACACTTGTGGCACTTACATTGAGCGGAAGTCCAAAGTAAATATAGCACTAGTGCAATAGAGTTCATCAAACTCAGTACACGTGATACGTATTTTAGACTAACCTCAAGCTCGAACGGCATAGACGGCCCACCATTGCCATTCTTTGAGTTCAACCGAGGCAGCAATGACTCAAGAAAAGCTTTCCCACCTTTACTGATTTAACATAAAAAGATGCAGAAAGTTGCGTTTAGTTCATTTGATACATTGTTATAGAATTAAGATAAAGAAGCAGCACGCAACTATACCGATTATAGTCAAAAATAAGTACACGCTCTTGCATTGCAATTGCTCGCAATGAACCCAGATTTAGAAGCAGAGCATACTCACGGACCTGATACATGAAGTAGAATATTGCAAAGATCACAAAACACTATAGATGATCAGTAATATACACTAGAGATTGCATAATTGTCTTTGCCAGAAAACAAGGAACTAATAAACTTTCGAGAACGAAAAAATGTTGCCATTATAAATTGGTAACAAGAAATGTCTGATGACCATAAATCATTTCATTTTTAGGAGCCGTGAAAATTGTGACTGAGTTTTGACTAATAACACTAATGACACCATATCAGGGAACGGCTCAACAAAAGCTTTTCTGTCTGCCTTCGTAATTAAATTAGTGAATATGTAAACATTGCCACTCTCCATCACTTCTGGTTTAGAACGGAATCTTACTTTCCATTTTACTTATTTATTTGCTTGATTGTACTTAGAAACTCCTACATTGCATGAGTGCAAACTAAAGTAAGAGAACGAAGCTCAAATGTTCAAATTCCATTTTTACTTTAATGTAATGCAACACATATATGCCAGGACGAAGACAAACCATGCGAATTACCAACTAGTTGTAGACTAAAAACAGGAAGAAGGCTCCGTAAGCATTTTCAAGAAAGTACTATACAACGGCACACATCTTCCATTGGAAAAAAATTTTAAATATAAAATAAATATAGCAATGAGTAACAATAATGAGTATCTAGTTATTAAATAATACCTAATTCATCTTATCATTAGAGCAGTGCTGACTAAATAACGCAATGGAACTTAAAACTCTAATCGATGGAAATTACTCAAGTAAGACACACAACATTTTACCAGGAGATGGTGGAATATTATAAAAAAAATTATACCAGCAACGAAGGCATTGAATTCGTCAAAAACAATGATGGATCCACACTTCGAATGTCTCTTGGACGAAGACCTGATAATTAATAGCATATAAGACAATACAGTATAAATAAGAAGACCAAATTAATTTTAGGAGGTCTACTGAATTCTATAGGCATGGAAAGAGGCAGCAAATTATTGTGGGACAGCGAAAGAGAAGTGGAAAGGACATGAGGTAGGCTGCAAACATCAAAGAGAAATGTTTATGCGACATGCACTACGGAAAGCACCTCAATATAAGCATAACATTGAACATGATAGACAACTAGCTGCATGGGGTCTTTACAAGTCTAGTCATGAAAATTTAGTTACCACTCATCCTTAACAGTTCTCTCCTGTTGATTTTTCTGGTTGATACCGCCCCATTTGACTTTACTTCTACAACCTTAGAAATTTGAATATAACAAAGTAAGAGATAATGAGTAAACAACAATGATACGGGGAAAATGAACGCCACGATTGAAGTGATGGAACGGGGTAACAGAACCAAACCTCATAAACTGGTTCCCGAATTCCCAAGGAGACAGAATCACCAAACGCGGTGGTCGCAGTTCTCTGGGATAGGGAGTCAACCCGCCCATTATTGGCACCAGAAATCTGGCTGCGAGCATCATTCTCCTCGTCTCTGCCCTCAGTATCGGAATCTGAAACAACAGTTTCCGCTTCAGTCCACTGCTTATCCTCCGTGGATTTGCTGAAGCATCCGAGTGTGAGCCTCAAAGTCTTGGCCGTCAACGTGATGTTTCTCCGGCGAACTAGAGTCGAAGTGGGCCATAGCGTTTCACAGGAGTGAGGTCCGGTGAGATCGGAGAAGATATCAAAGTTGGTGCTAGACCGAAAAAGCAGATGGTTAGGCCAAGTTAAAGCCATGTTCTGGTATGGCTTGTGATGTTCATGAATGTATTGTAACAGGAAATTCGAATGGGAAGAAGGGAGCTTGGAGCCTGGGCCCTGGGGGAGTCTCGCTCTGCAGCAATGAAAAATTGTCTATTCTGGATAAAGCATAATAATATTAATTAATTAATTCATGCTGTGCAATTTAAAGCACACGTGTTTGTGAAAAATATGTGTGTGGCTGAAATTTGACTGCTACGTAACTTTGCTCTCAGCCCACTCGAATTAATTATCATTTTACAAAGCTTTCTTTTTTCCCAGTAAGAATGCACCCCGCTCATGTGCGCGCGCTTTCGCGCTTTTTTCATATAATCACTAATATTTATGATAGATGAAAAATTTTAATTTAATGACATTTTTTTCCAACAAAAAATGGGTACATATATTTGATAACCAATGTTTATAAGTTCTGGCCGGGGAAAAAAAAAAAAAAAACTAAGCGATGAGTCTCATACATTGTACAGGATCTTATAATGATCTACTGTCGGCAGTTTGGCTTGTAAATAGGACAAGTAACTATTATTTAAATATATAAATATTAAATAGTAATATTCAGGGAGAATTTTTTTTTTTTTAGCAAAAATATTCAGGGAGAATTGTTATGAATTCTAGGGAGCGAAGAAAATTGCTAAAGCGTCTGTAGTAACGACATAATAAGTACAGAAAATAACAATTTCTCACTTGTTATTAAAACCTTTTTATGGTAATTTTTTTTCCTTTGGGAATGCATTCTCTCTAATTATATATATAGGTATGCGAGAGCATTGCTACAACTTTTTATTTGTGAAAATTGTTTTATTATTTGTTAAGCGAACCTTGCAAGAAAAATTAAGTTGATACAAGTTTTTATTTGTAAAAATTGTTTTATTATTTGTTAAACGAACCTTGCAAGAAAAATTAAAACCCCTCGTTGCCCAGTTAATACTTAATCCAGATGTGGAAAAGAAACGTTGGATTGCTCATGGTAGCGATAAATACTCGAAGGCCTGCCAAGGTTATCCAGATCTCTTCCGTGATTTCTTCATTTGAATATCATCATTTTACAAGCTTTCAGAAACTATAGATGATGAAGAGTTTAGCAGGTCATGGTTAGATTGCCCATCTAAAGTTTTGTGCTGAGGGGCATCTCAGAAAGGGATCCCTATACGGCTATGCCTGTGTAATCCGTTCTGCAGAAAAACACAGTGGTATTGGAACAATCTCTTTGTTTTCTTTGAATCATCATCAGCCTCTCTTTCAAGCATTCAGGAAATCTGAAAGAAGGAGAGATGTGTTTCCACAGCCCCGTTCTATCCTCGGAATCCAGAAATATACTTTACTTTGTTGATAACGTCATTTTCCCAATGGATAAAACCATAACGGAGCATATAGCTTCCAATTTCATATTCAAGATGATCTGAAATCAGAGAAGCTGAAAGAAAGTCTTTTTCAGGAGAATCATAAAAGAAAAAATGGATAGATATCACAAGTGTGCCGAATTCAAAATGATAGTATTTATCATGATTCATGAATAAGGATAATGGCAACGAATTTCTCATATACACAACACTATCAAAGCAGCTTTATCTCAAAGTTTCACATGAGACGGCAAGTTTCTTGGATGTCAGATGGCAACCTCAATTGCTCTTCCCTCCAATCAATCATGTAACAAAATCATGTGAATTCTTCAATAAGAGGCTGATAGAACAGTTTGTATGCTTCCAAAACTTCAAGATACCACATTGCCTCTCGGTCAGGGAACGATGAAAGGTCGACCATCTTATGAACCTGCAATTATATCATAATCAATTTCACTTCCAGTAGATAATTTTCTTTCACTTCAAGAAAGAAGTCGCATAAAGGATGCTTGCATACGAAATTTTGAAGCCTTACCAAAAGATAAGAACTTATCAAATAGGAATAGTACAGAAATTATGTAGGGAAGAAAAGAAAAGGCCAAGTACCTTAATCATGGGAGGTTCACCGGTCCGAGCAAGGTATCCTCCGACTACCATTACATACATCCCTAGCACAAACAAAGATAAATTTCAAAGCGTAAGAATCGATTCAATGCAGTAAGTTGACCAGTTAAGAAAATTGCACATTGAATAATATAACGCGGTGATAAAAGCTCAGATCATTAAAGGTTGAAATACCAACATGTGCGAGGGTTGGAAAACTAGAAGAGGACTGAGTTAGAAAAACTTACCAACTCTCCATGGCTGGAGACGGAAATCGCCGGAGAGGGAGAGTTCGATGAGACCGGAACCATCGTCCAAAATCAAAGGACCGGCGTCGCCGTCCGGGGCCGACACTAAAACGCCCTGCGACGTGGCAAGGGAGGTTGTTAGGAATAAGCGAAAACAGTAGGAGCGTTTAGGGGATAGAAGAGGAGAGAATAGGGGAATTTGAAAGCTGAAACCTGCAACCAAGCGCGTTGGAAGAGGATGCCGCCGAGGATGAAGCCATTCCGGGAAGGGACTTCTCTGGCGTCTTTCAGCTGTGCGCATAGTAACTTCAACGCCGCTAGACTGTAATCCATCTCACCCTCCCCCCTCTCTCTCCCCGTCTGCCTCTAATGCTGCAAAACAAATTCTCCCCGTTTTTCCACTCCCTATCGGCCGCCCATTTTTTGCTCTCTTGAACGACAATGTATTGAATTGAGTAGCAAGGAAGAAGCGGGGAAACGGAAGAAAAATATCGAGAGACGGTGAGAGTAAATAAATGCAATAGAACATGTGTCTTGCAGATACAGTTACAGCTTCAGGAAAAAAATTATTTCAGCCATACTTTTTTTAAAAAAAATTTGAATTTTTTAAGTTACGTCTTTTTTTTTTCTTGATTAAATCTTTTAACTTTGTATTAACCTCCATAACTTTATTCTCTCACACAAAGGTTAATGGTGCTAACAGAGAAAATTTAAATGATTTAATAAGAGAGAAAAACTTATAAATACCAAATTAAAAATTAAAAGAAAGTAGAGGTAATTGTAAAATTATTTCCCCTTTATATATATATATATATATATATATATATTCCTACTAATGACATGGCTGAATTTTGCGTTTTTCTATTTTTTTTAACACTGTAAATAATTCGTGCTCATAATTTAATTTAATGTGCGACTGTATTTTTTATTTTAAAAGACACTGATAAAACTTCAACTGTTCAACATTCTTGACTTTTACATTAGATGATTAGTGAGTTGCTTCAGGTAAACAACCTTACTCTCAATTTTGCCAATTTCTTCTTCACTAGTCAGTGAATTAATCATGGTCATAACTGAACCATGAACTCCAAATCAAAAATTAGAAGTTAGAACCAAACAAAAATATTCAGTTCTGTGTCTTTTGGCGCAAGAAGTTAGCTAGTTCTATGACTTACCGGTCACATAAATTCACTGAACACAAACTCTTAAAGGGCAAAGCAGAACATCTTTGATCACCCAAAAGGGAAACTTTATAAAAGATGAAATCTTACACAACCATACAAAGCACGATTATTAGTCATAATTCAACGAGACAGACCTGAGAACCCACATTGAACTTTCCAATTCAACACATTAAACCTCCTTCCATGTGAATCTCAAACTCTTTCACAAATAGCATAATAAGTACAAACAGAACATGAGCCCAAAAGTGGTTGAATTAGGAGATGAGAGAGAGGCCAGCGGCGAGCAAATTATCTGCCAAGATCTTGTTTGCGGCTTCTGAAGGATGAAAACTATCCCAAAATACATACTCAGTTGCATTAGCACATGTCCCTATGGACTTGCGATTGCACAGTATAGAGGTCTCCAGCAAGCCCGTTCCACAGCAAGCCTTTCTTGCTTCAAAGAAACCTATGATATGTCACCAGTAAAATATTTTGAGATTCAAACAAAATGAGCATATATAAAAATTGACACTTCATAGGATCATGACACTAATCTTTTTACCATTATCAGAAGGCTTAGAGACAAGCTGATAGAGAGGCTGGTAGATATCAAGGACGACCAAATTGAGGTTTGGAAGCTGTTTCTGCAAGCTCTGAGATGTGCTGTTTAGCTTTTTATTGAAGTTGATAGCATCATTATTGATCCTTTCCACGCATTGGTTGCTTTCAAAACCAAACAGAGTGATGGCTGCTGGAAGGCAACCCATAGGAGGTAATGTAGTAACCCCAATCCTCCTTGCTCCCATTGCATACAGTTTCTGTCAACCCACATTTGAAAATAAGGTTGAAGGTTAAGCCTTGTGTTTTAGATCCAAGGAAAGAGGTTAAGTGTGAGAAATAGACGTGCCTGAATGAAACTGGAATAGGCTCGCAAGAGTATGTCTGAGAATTGATCTGCCGTATAAACCTTATAAAGTAAAGGATTGATGTAATAATTCTGAAGGAAATCGCTGTTCCCTGAACTGATAAGATGTATAGCCCCAGATATAATTGATGAAGCATTTGATTGTCCTGCTACTTCCGCCAATATGTTCTGGCATTCTCTGTAGTTCTCCAGCTGCTGACTTAAAGGTATTGCATGCTACAACCAAAAATAATATAATTATGACAATAACCAACCATTAAAATGAGAAGTAACCAAGGAAAAGGAGGGTTTCGAGTTATGTAGTTGTGGATACATATAATTTCGCCGTAGGTTCATAGTATCCAGATGCACCCGATGCAAAGTTGGTACCATTCAATAGGTTTTTCCCTTTGGTCTTTAGGTTCACATAAGCTGGTGGGTAAGAGGTGAACCCAAGGTTTTCAGCTGCAAAAAAATTACACAAGATAGATTAATTGCCAGTTCAAAGGCTACAAGAGATAATTTCAAGTCATGAATAATAATAATAATAATAATAATAATATCCTTCTATCTCATTTCTGCCAATATGGTCAATTAATATGACACATGAAGCTTTTTCCCCCCTCTATGAGGATATACTACACACCAAATTATTCAACTTTATCAGAAAAAACATTCAACCTACATTCTGCAGTAATTAAAGTTGGAAGAAAGTTTCAAGGTGGGTAACACAGAAGGTTCAGACCAAAGAAAATAAGCCGCATGGCAACTGAATGAACCCTAAATAACATCGGGGTCATCTGTTCTGGCAAAAACACTTAAAAAGAAGGATCTAAATCTTACAAATGACTTTAACTGAAGGTCAAAATGATTATATTTTCTTTCCATAATAATGATAAAGAAAAAGATACTCGTATTACCAGTGAAGTCAGAGGCGAGTTTTCCATTACAGAATCTCCCGGTTGGAATGTGATTCATGAAGTCCCTTCCATAGGGAGGGAAGTTTGCTTTAACAATGGTCTTTATGTTGTTATTATTGCCCGCATCAACTACAGAGTCTCCAAATATGAACAATGCAGGAACCAGAGGTTGCCCATAGCTCACACTTAGCACTGCAATTAAAAGACTGAAAGTCAAGAAGAAAGAACTTGAACAGCCCATTCTTTCAATTTCTGTTCAGCGAAGAGATTTTTTTTCCCAATAGAGAAATAGACAGAGGAAGTCTTAAAGATGAGTTATGGAGGCTGTGATTCCAAGAAATTTATAGATGTAGCAACATTACTGTTTACTCTCAGAATCATGTCAGTGTCAAAGACACTAATTGCTAGTGGTATTCTTCTTCATTTGGGAAATCGGAGAAACAAGTGAAAGCAATTGTGTAACTAAAATTGACAAGTCTAAGGTGGCGAAGTTTGAGGCCTCAGTTGCCTGCATGCGCATAAACATTCTTAGCTGTATTCCTCTTGAAGCTTTTACTTGATGTCTCTCACTTCATTCTAAAATAGAATTACCCTTCTCCTGCCATCAATATAATATGGAGCTCAAATAACCTCCAGCTCTAAACAATTCTGAGCATTTTTTGCATTAGCTATAGGCCCCTCCTATTGGAGGAGGATTGTTCAAAACACTGTAAGACATTAAATATAAGCACATTTTGGGAATTTAAATTCAAATATTAGTTTAACATTTCACGAGAAACTAACCTATTCTATTTAATTCAAGTCTCAGTGGTTATACTTTGCTTTTTAAAATACAATTTAGAACCAACAAAAGTTAATCTAATTAGTAAGGAGTCGGCTCATAATCTATAAGGTTATGAGTTTGAATCCTAGTACTGAGTATAAAGTATATCCTAACCCGAGCGAGTCTCCAAGACCCAACTTACCTTAACAAATATATATATATATATATATATATAATTTAGAAAGATTATCATAATAATTAACATTCCCAAATGGTTTGAGTCTATGTCAATTTTTTTTAAAAAAAATCCAGTTTTCATTCTTGTACTTAGTTATAATGCGCCGTTTTTTATTTAAAAATGTTTTTGTGTGAAAAATGATGTAAAAGAGAAATTGATTGAAAACCTTAACAGTTTGAAGTACAAATTTTGGTAGAAAATTAAACATGTAAATATATAATACGTGTTATTTTTTTTATTTGTTCGCCTAACTCTATTTTTAATTAAAAAAGATGGAATGGCTAATAGTAATAAAGGAGGTTGGTTGTTGTTACTGAATAGGAGTAGTAACGAACAAGGTTGACCCAAACAAAATTTAAAAAAAATTAAAATACTAGTAAATAACAAGTATTTGGTATGGAGTTTTTCTTCTTTTTTTTTTTTTGGGGGGGGGGGGGCAGCATTTGGTATGGAGTTGAATCTTGATGCCAGGTGTTTTGAGCTGTCCTGACTTGTGCTTCCACAAGCCCATCTTTCAATTGCACCACATGTCCAACAGTGCCTAATACACGCTTAATAAGCGTCGGAAGGAGAAAATATTTTGACAGGGGGGTTTAAACGTTAAATAATAGTAATAAGGGGATAGATTTAGGATTTTGTTAAAAAAATATCAAAGGGAAAGGCACTAAAAGTAAAAGAGACGTCACGGAACTTGCGTTTGGTTGTTTATCAATGCAGTTGCCGATGGATTCATCAGTTTCGTGCAGTGTGCCTTATTTACTTCTTCTATCAGTGGCACTGTTCACAACCTCCTTCATTAACTTTTCTCTGATGCCTTTCTGGATTACTACAACAATGCTCCTTTTTTGTACAAATTATTTTCTTGCCTTAGCCTTTCTTATGGACAACACATTGCTGTTTCTTGTTGCATTCGTCTTTCACAATTAACAGCTCGTAATAGACTTCTATAGTGAGTGGCAAAAAGCCGAGAAAACCAAACCAAAGAAAAACTTCGCCTTCCTTCACAAGCAATTTTTCCAGTCGGAAGAACCTTGCCAAGACTTTCCCTTTCAATTATTTTATTCTTCCGTAATATCTGATCCACCTTTCGGCTATACCTTATTTTTCTTGTATCATAGAAGGAAAACCTTTCCCACTCTAAATATCACGTACCAAACATTCCACACCGAACCTAATTTTTTCTGGCTAAAAATACATAGAACCAAATTTTCGGTGCCGAACGCAACGGCGAGAGTTCAATTCCTCATAAAGTAGAGCCTTCCTCCTGCCTTTTAGTAATGTGGGCTCCCATAGAAAAGAACCAATTATGGGCCCTTTTTCAATGCTTATTGAGAGCCACATAAAGAACTTGATCCAAAAAAAATCTCCATCCTGGACTTGAAAGTCGAAACTTCATAATCCATAAATC